TGGGGGAGAATTGAGAGAGAGAGAGACAAACACACACACACACACAAAGAGGAGAGGGGAACTGCTGGGGCCGGCCCGTATTGAAGAATATGGCCGAATTTACCCGGGCTGGCCGTATATCGGCGTATAACACGCACACATCATTTGCCCCCTATTTTCAGGGGGAAAAAGTGCGTGTTATACGCCAATAAATACGGTATATGTGAATGTATGCAGAAATAGCTTTAATTAGATTTTTTTTCCCAAGTTAAACATGCATAGCTTTCAGGTTTAGTATGTATGTATGTATGTATGTATGTATGTATGTATGTATGTATGTATGTATGTATATATATATATATATATATATATAAACAAAAAATACCAAGCTAATTGTTGTAGCATATGTACACTTTGTCTTTATTACAATAACATATTTATTTGCACAAAGTTATCAGATTAAAATTGCTAATAATATCATTGTTTATTAAATTACTGGTGTTACATTATAGAAGATCAATAAATCATCTCATTGGTTTACAAGGTAAACCCTAATGATCAATAAGAATTTATTTGAATTTTAGGCACTTGTGTAGAATATAGCAATCTGATTTTATGTATTATTTATTTATTAAATGTTCCATTCATATAACTTAAAATGTAAGAAACAGAGATTATTCCCTTCTTACTTATATATATATATATACATTCCATGAGAGTAAAGGGAATTTGAATTGATTCTGAAAAACTGCTAGCAATTTCAATAAACTTGGAATGTTTTATTATGCATTGTAAACAGATGTTACTTCATGGATAATCTGTGATGGTGACATAGACCCTGAATGGATCGAATCTCTGAATTCTGTCCTTGATGATAATCGACTGCTTACTATGCCTAGTGGAGAAAGAATTCAGTTTGGTCCAAATGTTAACTTTCTTTTTGAAACTCATGACTTGAGCTGTGCTTCTCCTGCCACAATATCTCGCATGGGAATGATTTTCCTTAGGTAACTCAGAACAGTTTAATACAAAACTTTGTTACGATTACCATACTGTTGAAATTGTATTCTTATTTATTTTTCTTTTTTTCTTTAAAATGTTTATAAGATGCCTCAATCCATACAGATTCTGAACATATATAGCAATTCAAAATATAATACAACCAACAAAATGATTAAAAATAGTAACAATTCACTAAGTATAGCAATAACACTTAAACTTATATACTGCTCCATAGTTCTTTATAACACTTTCTGAACAGTTTACAATGTCAGCATATTGCCCCGAACATCTGGATCCTCATTTTACAGACCTCGGAAAGATGGAAGGCTGCATCAACCTTGAGCTCCTGTCAGGATTGAACTCCAGGATATGGGCAGAGTTTACTGCAATACTGCATTGTAACTGTGCACCACTAGGGCTCAGTATCCAAAACTTTCCAAACAGAGCTATCAGCCAAAAGAACATTTCCAATTCAGCTTACTTGCCAAAAGCAAGGTGTATTGGGGGTTGCCAACATAAGACAGGAGACACCATTAGAAGGCCTATCGGGTCCACATCTACTGAATCTCTCAACAAGGGGTGGGGAATCTCAACAGGTCCTTCCTAGATATTTGAACTAGATCAGTAATAAAACTTTTAACCACAAATTTATATCCACTGAAATAGTATCTATAGAGTTAAACATATTTAACTCAACAAACCATGGAATCTGGACAAATTGTAAAGGCCAATTTATTATATTAGTCTATAGGTATTGTAAATCCAAAAGAAAGCATTGCTTGACGTAGCCTATAGAAGTAGACTTTCAGGAAATCTGTCTAAAAAGCTGGGAAAAAAGATATGGTAGGCAGAGAAGTCCAGATAGAAGTGCTGTGGATATTCTAGTCCAGTGATGGCAAACCTTTTAGAGACCGAGTGCTGAAAAACCGCCCCAGCCCCCGCCCAAAGGGCCACCCACCACCTCCACGACCCCCAAGAGGCCCTGCAACGCCATGGCGGCCACGGCCTCTGCCCGTGCCCCGCAGCATCATCTGCGCGCGATGGGGCGTGAGGGTGGAGTCTTGTCCCTGCTGCCAGGCTGCCATGTCCTTGGCTGCGCTGCTCCGCGTGGGCTGCACCTGGGGGCAACTCCTCCAGGGGGGCTGCTGGTGAGGGGGCCATGGGGGGAGGCAGGGCTGGGGTGATGGTACGTGCGTGTGCCCACAGAGAGGGCTCTGAGTACTGCCTCTGGCGCGCGTGCCATAGGTTTGCCACCACTGTTCTACTCCTTTTTCATTTTGCTTTACTCATTTAGGTATTTTTACCTTTTACTTATATTTTCCATCTATTTCTTGTTTGCTTGCTTGCTGACTGTGTTATCTGGGAATAAGTTTTATAGAATATACTTCCCAGTGGGTGTGCATTTAATTTTGTTGTAATACTTATGAATGAGAGCCATTTACTACAAAATATTTATATCCCAATTGTTCAGAATGTGTTGCTTTAATTGAACTATATTTCATTCTAGTGATGAAGATACTGATCTTAATTCACTGATCAGATCTTGGTTGAGAAACCAACCTGAAGAATGCAGACATAATCTTGAAAATTGGATTGGAGATTATTTTGAGAAAGCTTTAAATTGGGTACTAAGGCAGGTGAGTTGTACTTTTTCTACTATTTATCTTAACATCTTCTAGTTGACTGTTTTTTCTAATTGAACTAGATTTCTTCCTCATTCATTTTTTGTTTTGTTTGTATCTTTGCAATAGTTTATCTGTACCTGCAAAATGCCAGCTTATTAATGACGCTTTATGATCAGCAGGTGGCAGCAGGTAGCCACGATGTCTATGTTCAGAAACTAAGCAGGATTGGATCTTGCTGAGGGAATAAATTATAGTCATACCTCTGCACTCTAATGCTTCAAAACTTGTTGAATTCAATATTTGATGTGTTTTGAAGCAGAAATCTTTTCCTGGCCCTTGTCTTTCTCCCAGTAGTTGATGCGCAGGGAAGAACTTGCTGACATTGGCTACCTCGTGACTCGCTATTTCTTCTGGTCGAAATAGCAAGTCATGTGGTAAGTCACATGTTTTTTTCAGTACTTGTTGGTTTTAATAATTGTCATGTATTCCAGAACGAATTACCAATGGGTACCAAGATACAAGTGTATAGCTGTTATGCATACATCAAAAGAAATATTTAAAAATAGCAGAAATAGTATATATGTTACTTCTTAAGATCACTGTTATAATAATTATTGATATGATAATGATAATAATTGTGATAATGATAATGATAATCATTGAGAATGATAATAAATAGTAAAAATAAGAGTTCGTATTTTATTTCTGCTAAAAGGTCTTTATTAAAATCCTCCTGTTGGAATACTTATTGGATTATCTATTTTACAGAATGACTATGTGATAGAAACAAGTTTGGTTGGAACTGTGATGAATGGGTTGTCCCATCTTCATGGATGTATTGAACGTGGACAATTTATAATTAGCCTGATAAGAGGACTTGGGGGAAATCTCAATATGAAATCACGACAAGAATTTACTAAG